TCTTCTGCCGATATCACTTGGAACTCTGTTTTCCTCTAAACTTCAGTGTCAGCTAACATGTTGCTCAATCATTCAAATGAAGGATCTCAAGGATTTCTTAAAAAGCCAGAAAGCAAAATTAAATCGCACAAAATAAATGTGAGATTCAAAGTGAAGCACCAGTTTGCTAATCATTCTGTGCTAATAGCATTGTGGCCAATGAACCAATTGATGGAGTCAATCGCATGCATTTGTATTATGAAAAAATTTAAGACTTGCTATAAACTTGCAAATTATGATGGCTTTGAGCATTTATTTATTTATTGCATTCGATTTGACTTATAGATTTGAGTGCAATGGCAAGATTATCGTAAAAGTGATTGCAAGTCAAGCAGTCATTTTAACCACCACTTAATTGAGACATTGTGCCATAGGGAAGTTGTGTAAATACCAGTTGTAATGTTTCACTGGTAAAATGTATAGCTAATGTAAAACATTGTGCAATACTTATTTGCTAGCGCACACTCTTAAAGTAAAAAGAGGTGGTTGGGTGGGTCCATAGGTCGCACATTATAACGGAAGAAGTTAAAACAAGTTTTTGAAACACATACCCGATTGCTGCTATTTTAATTCGCCGGCTAGCTAGGCATTGTAAAATTTTGAGTCCAGTTCTATTAGGTGAAACATTTGTGGAAGTAGCCAAGCTCTGACTAAGTCGTGGAACCAAGACGATGGTTTTAGTTGAAGATGTATTACTAATTCCACGGTTTTGATTATGTGCTAACATTTTATTTAAGTAAATCAATCACATCCGCCTGAAGCTAGACTGAAAACATTGCTTAGTGTATTAAAGTCGGCCATTAGTGAAGGTGTTGAAAGCACGCCAAGGGTTCGTCATGACGGAGGTTACGTGGGAATGGTGTAAAATAAAGCCAAGGTGGTTTGGAAATACGTTTATTTGTAATAAAAATTAGAGTGAAAAAGGGATTAAACTGACCTCAGCCAGACGTCTTTAGAACGTTGCCATTTGCTTTACCAGCCTGACCATCGAAATGGCATCAAATCCGCACTATGAACTTTACACTAGGATGTGGAGGTACCACGGTAGTAATTAAAGTGACATTTTCTGATTTATCGGAAATGCTTTGCCTTAAAAGTGATAATTTATCCGTTGCAATTCTATGGTCAAACCGCTAATTCTTACCCAAAAAAAATTATCTGCCAATTCATGAATAATTTGCTAAACTTTGAAATGAGTGCATGGAGACGCTTCTTTTGGCGTTACACATCACCAATGTAATATACACCCTTGGAAATATGCGGTTATCTTTCCATTTACAGCATAAATTTGGCAACCAACATGTAGGGGTTTATAAGAAAAGCAGGAACAATTTGTCCTTTAATTTTCAATGTGCAGTGCTTCAAGTGTTAAAAGACATTCTTTTTGAAATCCTTCTCCTATATTAACTTAACACGCCAGTATTTAGAAGGACTATCGAAGAGCATGACAATGTCCTGACTTTTTCCTAGGCAGAATTCGTGGCTGGCCTATTTTCGACAACATCTGCGGACAACTGGGGACTCAGTGCTCTATTTGATAGCAAAGACTAAATTAATGAAGTCGGCATGTGATTTATAGCATACACTAAAAGAGGAGTTCAAACCCCCTTCTGCGCATCTTACCCCATTACGTAATATAGTTTTTACAGAATGTTGGCTTCTTCCGTGATTTACTTCTGACACGTGTGAATATTCAGAAGTGCGACTTATTAGTGAGAGCCTAAATACACTCCTTACTAATCACTAGCATGGTTATTACCCAACTCTAGCAAAAATGCTTGAGCGTTTGTACTGGATGCAGACAGAAACAGAAGCTGTACAACTTTGAAACAATGCAGAATGGGAACTGTGTGCATTCTGTAAAACAGAAAAAGCACAAATAGGCTTAAAAATAGGGCTAGTAAGTAGCAGGAAGTTCTTAAAAGAAGGAAACATTTTTAGATAAAACCTTCCTACAATCATTAAGGCGTGATCTGTGCCTTGCAAAAAGTAAGTGCTGTTTAGAAGTCTCTTCATCTCCTTAATCTCTTTCACAGCTCTTAAATCGTGCATCATAAAATAGGGTTAGTAAGTGACGATAGGTAACTTTTCTCCAATGTGTCCTCGTTAAATCCCTATCCTGTCACAAATATGCTAAAAACTTGAAAAAAGCATCACAATGTGCCAAAAAACAATCATTTACAATTCAACTGCGATTTTTATGCAGTCATGAATTTCACGGTAAATTCTCTTTTGATAGCATAGCAAACCATTTTATCTAAAATGCAGTCTGTCAGATGCTGCACTTATTTGAAGTTACCATAGCCAACAAAGTGAATTTTGACTAGGCTTAAAGGAAGCATTAACTGATATATCACACATATAAATGGCAAGCATGACAAAAACGAATACTGTCCAAAATCAAATTCCCTAAATACCCCGTTTTTTTATTTTAGAATTTAATCAGTGAGTAGATGTCTCTTATTTTAATCATGTTTAAATGGTAAGACAGATAGAGCTGAGTTCTTTCATTTCAAACTGTGAATACAGTGCAAAAGTCACTGCAGGATGATGTTCAGATCGCCTAACTGATCTTTTACGGAGCACACATTGCACGCATGCATGAAGGAAAATGTCTAACGCTCTTAAAACGCACGTTTACATGCATGAGTTTTATACACAGTTATCAGTGGATTGGACAAATTTTATGCACAAGCTTGCCTTTTGCCCTTATTAATGCAACTAATTACCAAATCAGACAAATTAGTTTTTGCCATGTTATTGCACCACTTTTATGGCTACTAACGACATTCCAAAATTCAATTTCTAAATTTGTAACATGTATCAGTAAACCTAACAGGAAGCTATCCATCTTACTTTAAGATGCATAAACCCGTTAGAAGGGCCTCAATTCATCAAAATGAATAATTAGCAAATCCTCCAGTATTCGTTTGTTACATTGCCTGTTTGTTAATACCACTGGGAAGGCATATTTTAAATTATTACTAAATATTCTCAGACCACACCGTGTGCTTTATGCGGATCCCGCGAGCTGAGTTTTAACTACCTCTAAATCTCTTTGCTGAAACATATTTAGGTAGTTCTACAGATACTTCACTCCGAGTATCTTAAGTATTCCTTGCTGCTCTACCATGCCGCTGGTCCCTACGTAATATCCCTTGATTCATAATTTAAAGCAATAATCTGCTATGTGGACCATTTGATGTAGGAAGCACTGCAAAAGTGCACTCGTTTAAGTCATTTCTGTGCGCATTTCTTCTCCTGCCAGGTCTAATCGATGATTACTGTTTACAGTTTAATGCCGCATGTTTTACAAATGCTTGACAAGGACTCTATGGTCGAATAACACAAGAAATCGTTACTTTGATTAGTTCCGTAAGTTTAAGGCAATTTATATTTCAACTTGCTGTCTTTTCTTCCCAACAGTGGTCCATTAGGACAGGATCAGTCCCTACGTGCTCCTTTGTTCATCCCGCGAAAATGGACCCACCTATTTGAAATTCGCCATTATACAGTTGAAGAAGCGGCCATCACCTCAGTTGCTTACATATGTTGGGGTAATTACAAGCTAATATCAGGAGATAATCGGCCATGCACGTTTTTAAGCAAGCTCACAACACCCGTTCTGATTGGAAAAATTCACGTAATTTCATTGGTCCCAAATTAGGGACCGTTGCAGAAATTGCACTGGAAAGAACAGACACTACACATGATCTTAGCTCATAGAACCGATAAGTGATGGCCTCTCCCACTTCTCTAACCCATCAACCTCAGTATCTTTTACTTACTCCTAGTCCACCATGCTAACGGACTCAACTGTCCCCATCATAGCCCATCTTTCAGGCTCCTGTTTGCATTTTCAATCTGTTTGCTAAGCAATTTGTTTGTTTCTTCTTTGGCTCTATGGTTTGCACACACTACTTACCCTTTTCCAATCTGTAGACACCTATCATTCCAGCCCTCCTTTCCTGCTGATACCCTCTATCGGAATTATCTAGTCGACTACTATGCTACCGCCACTAGGTAACCCTTATCTCAAACCGACTCTCACATCACTCCTTTCCACTGCCAACGAAACTTTAGAGAGTGCGAGAGCAGCAAAGCGACTAATATGTAAGACGGCAAGGATGAAGGGGCAGCTTACAATGAAGTTCAGTTGTGGGTGTGGCGAGAACATTCCACTAAAGAGAGTCAGCAAGAAGGATGGGCTGGTATAATGGGTAACTACTGATAGGAAAAGAGTAAGTAGTGTATGTAGGAAGAGTTGTGGAAAGTACAAATAGAAGAAGCAGGTGAGAAGATGTAAATAATTTACAATGAGATATTAAACAATACTCAAAAACCCCAATTCAGGGTACTGATTAACGACCAACCAAGAAATAACATTTGAAATAACATTCGAAACATTTGAAGGTGTCGACATTTGCATGCAAAGCACTTTAAAAACACAAGTTACTGAACCCAAGATATAGCCTGACCAAATATTCAAGCTTATTTTTTCAGGGTTTGCAGGCCGAATGCAGGGTCTGTCATTGCGTCCTTCTTGGTGAAAAATGTATCTGTTAGGACGTCAAGAGCACTTCAGATCAGCCACACCAGTTCATCCACCAACAAAACTTGTTTTGGCAGACTCCTAGTACATACGAGCAAAGTTCTTTTCTGGCGTGTGATTTATTATCTATATTCATTTTCATCTCAGAGAAAAAATTTGGGCTAAACTGCGAAAACAATCAATTTCTAGACTAATGCCCATCTGACTAGTCGTCCACCTACCTTCATTTCCGTTAAAAAGTCAAAATTATGGATGATGAGGAAGCACTAGTTGCTAATGACAACTCCGTTAGAATTTAGCAAAGAGACATGAAAAAAATGTAAACATGACATGTAATTTTTAACGATAGTGCGTCATGGAAGAAAAGATAAGCCACCGACGTTTGAGGGGGATATCGCATCAGCTCGCCTTATGTTCAATACAAGAAGCACTCACCATTTTAAAACAAGCCTGAACGACCTATTCATAGAGCTCGCTACAGAAGGGATTATGCACTCACAGAATATGGCTCCACCAATCGTATGTTTAATACATTCATCACAGTCCAGATGCCTTACTCATCCTTTGGCATTCGATACTTGGACTATCAAATCAAAGTTGTTTCTAAAAATTAAGTGCACCTACTCTACGACAAAAAGCTCTTACTTGACATCAAGCTTATTTGCAAAAATCAGAGCATAAAGTGTAATTGACGATGGCAGCGAAGGTCAAGCACTCGTTGTAACACCTACTAGACAGCAGTACCCATGACACCAGCTACACCCACGGTGGAGAAAATGGACAAAGACGTAAATTTCTAGGCAATCGCTTCGGTGTCGTGAGACTGTGGTTTACCATCTCTGAACCTCTGAACGAAACGCCTAAAGAATCGCGCATTGTCAAATTGGACAAGGAAGTTATTGAATGAAGAAGTGTAGTATATTTGAGCACTCAAATGACCATGGTGCATATAGATGTTCTATTTATTCGCAAATTAAAAACAAGGAGATAGAGCCTTTCCCGAAAATTGTCTTCAAGCAGAAATGCTGTCAACTCTACCACTACCACAGCCACTTTTGTTTCACTACTGATTAGGTGCTCTAAGATGTGATTTTGCTCTAGGGCGGAGATAAGTTCTTACAAAAGGGGTAAATGAGAACATATGATTGAAATAAAAGTATGAGCCCACGCTTTCCAGAACTGAAGAGCCTGGATAACACATTCTCGACTATTCCGCACCTACCGTCAGCTCTTCGCTGGATTAATTAGCATTTCTAAAAATCCTCGGTTAAAATATCACTTTAGTTCATCCAATTGCTGAAAAGACCAATGAATTGCACCAAAATCAGTTTTCGCCTTTGCAGAACCCGATCCTCTTCATTCAGTCATCTAGATTGGCATGTGATTGTTAACTCTCCTTTCTTTTATTAACGGTAGTATCTTCCAGTTCACTAAGCCAAAGTGAAGTAGGTCTTATGAAGTGCTGTCTACCAAGCAAGCCTTCACATTTAACTACTCCGCTATCCGATAACAACCGTTTTCGAGTTCACCAATACGCATGAGGCCGAAATGAGGTGCAGTGACTCACATCATGCCATTGCTGGTTTGTCTGTTGACTTATTCAACACATTTGTTCATGCTTGTCACAATAAAGACTAAGCTTCAATTACTCTCATCCCAGTTTTGTGGCTCCAAAAAACTCTTTAAGAACTTCGACCGTTACCTCTTATTCTGTTGAAACAGTTCTGATGCCTTCAAGTGGGGAAACTACCATTTCAACACGTGTGTTTTTGCCCGTAAATGAAGCACAAGCAATGAATAAGTAGAAAGTGAAACTCCCTCCCTCTCGAGACAACTTGAAAATAACCGGAAACACCAGAATCAGCAGCTACTATCCTACTGTAAAAGGCAGCACAATGGCTAAGCAATTACGTTGCGCATTTTGGCTTAGGTAAAAGTGAGCGCCTTTGGCAGTATGGCATGTCATACATAACTGCACACAAGTGTTCTGGAACACTGCTAGCATGGGCAGATATCCATCCCACAATTTGAGCAATCAAACTATTACAGTACTTCAATACAATATAGTTATAAAAAAGCAGAGCATGAAAATCAAATGAGAGTGGCCTTTGTTAGAACATATTCAAGCATCCATTCACTAAGTAATTGCGTTTGGTTCCCACGCATCGACCCTCAGTTGAAGTTTGTGCGGCAATCGTAGAGATAGGTTTTGTCGTTTGACTTCCTTACCATAGCTCATCAGACTTTACAGGTTGTGCTTCTATCTTGCAAACCTATTCAACCCTGCCTGTAGACACACACCCTTCCCACACATCGATTCGGCGTCTTTCTCTTCCTTTAATAATTTTAGATGAATAGACTGATTGGATTGGATCGTTCTTCATAAATGGCATTACAAATAGGGCACAGTGAACAATATTTTGTCTGTTTAGCGTACACACTCTCCTCGAGGGTGGATCACGTCCAGTTCGTATCCGAGCTGGTCGCTTCTCTCATAGAGGGTGCATCTGAGCAGACATGTATCATCCCTTCGTCTTTTGAACACTGCCTTCAATGCTTATCCTTGTAGGCGATCCGCGCATGCAACTTTAGTTGGTGCGCAAACTACATCTTCGTATCCAACACGTGGTGCATCTTTGCAAGGCCACATTCTACTGTGATGTACGACGATTGGTTGAGGATGAAGTTGTGCGTTGCAACCAAAGAACTTTGTTGGAGAAATGACTTTCGACACTTGGTGTGTGTCTTTGCCCATGGATGTCAGAACTTGCGGTGTACTTCAGGGAGCTAGATCAGCGTATACAGTAGTCCTAGGTCCCCTTCATAATAGATGCTAGTCTCACCGTGTTTGTCACATTACCCCTTCTGTCAAGGATATGAGTCGTATGTGTTCCCCTGAGGTGATGGAAGTTTACCTAATCCTTTCTTTGGTCGAAGTGCGCACTCTAAGACATTGTGAAATAATACTTTTGTGTTTGGTAAAAGTATCAATAGCCAATCTTACTTTAAGGCCCGTAAGGATACTAAACAGTGAAATGCTAGCTGATGCCTTAAATCCTAGTGTTCTAGTTGCACATCCTAGTAAAAGCCTCCAGTAGACAAACCGAAGTAAAATTTTTTTGCACCTACCCATTACCTTGCGGATATTCAAATGCCATGCGTATCTTTGAAATCCCAAATGTCTTAAAATTTTTTAACAAAGAATCAGCTTTTGAACTCTGTGTGTTGATCACTATGCACAACTTAAGGCACATCATGTTGACAAATTGAGCTGTTGGAGAAAAGTGAAGCAGTCGTTCCAACGTTTCGTGCCTTCATGGGTTCTGCCGCGGCTACTTTCTTAAAGTAGTTTACCATGACCAGAATATACCTCTTTACTCTCTTAGTCGATGGCAGGGGACCCATGATGTCAACGCTTCCTCTTCCCCCAGGTGCGGCTGCTGTGTAGTGGCGCCTTTTGAAGTTGTTGTGAGTAGTGCGGGCTCAGCAGAATTTAAGTACATATGGGGCGAGCGAAGACAGGCATCACTCTTTGCTCAAGGGGTCGAGTGCATATTTTCGCCTAAATGGCCCGGGTGTTCGTGTGAGTCGTGTAGAACTGTCTATACCAATAATTAAGAGACAACTAGGTGATCAGAAGACCCAACACCTTTTGGTACAATAAATCAATCTCGACAGATAGTTTTTACCATACCGGCCATATCCGTCTGGCCGTTCTATATGAAAGTCATCTCTTTAACCGTGGTTTTGTAAGACGATGTACGAAAATTCTCGTATGCTCTACTTATTTTGTCGATGAGGTTTATTGGGCTTGCTTTACGATATTGTGTTTAGAGCAGCAACCGGTCTGCGAGACAGGGCGCCTTTTTTATTATGTATACTTTCTTTTTGCAGTACACTGTACATTTGAACGCTTGCGGCTCCTTGCACCAAAGTGAAGCTGAACAATCTAACCCCTTCATTTGTTTCAACCGAGTCATGACCTAGTGATCCGTTTGCTTTACGTCCCTTTTTGTTTTCAAATAATCTCTATTCTGCCAAACCATTTTAAAAATAGCTACAAATTCACATTTTGTTACGCTTTATTTATCCCGTTTCATTAAATTCTATACTTGGTAAGTCGATGACGTGTTTTCTTTCCCCTCTGTTTTTGTGAGTGTACACAGCCCATGACTGCATCACTAGCTTCAGTATACAGCGCAAATTGTAGGACGCTTGACTCAAAGGTAAATAAAGCTAGAATTATCAAGGATCACCATGCTTCATCATGCTCTTTCTGCAAATTAAAATGCCTTTAGGCCTGCTTTTCCGTCAGCACATGATGAGGACCCGCGGTCTTTGCGAAATCTTAAACAAAATGCATGTAATACCTATCAAACCAAAGCACCTACTGAGTTTCGTTTGAATGGTTATTGCTGGCCAAGTCATCATTTGTTTTGTCCGGTCTTCTGTAACCGCAATCCTATACGACTATTGAATGATCTTAGAGGAGGTTGACCGAGCACTTCATTATAAGGCATTATTATAGGTTTGAAGTATACTCTGAGTCTCTCCTATCGCCAATCACAAGTGTAAAATCGTTGTTGTGTTCTCGAAGATCTCTAACAAAATCAAGAATGTAATTTAAAGAGTCTACAATGCTTGGGGAATATGCCAAATAATGGGAACCGAATCAGCCATTGGAAGGTGACCTCTGCGCTGCGGAGTCCAAAAAGCATAACCTGAAATTCATAGATCCCACTTGGCAATATAATAGCTGCCTTTTTTCTGGCCTTTCTAACGCCTCCACTTACCATATTTTGATTTACAATTTAACATAAAGAAAAGGTCTGACCAATGTAGGGATTCTTAAACTAATTGATATTGGGTTGAGAAAAGATGTCCCTCTTCGTCACTATGCCCAAGTTTCTCTAGTCGATGCACTATCGCAGGCTACTCTTATCATTCTTTAGCAGTGCGATCGGAGAGGTCGGTGGCGACGTTGATAGTTTCATGACCTCGTGTCACAATATCACCTTTATTGGACGATTTCTTTTTTCCAGCAGAGAAGGTGATATGCATATGAGAGGCAGCCATATACGGCTATCTTCATCAATGTCTACCAAATGCATCGCAATACCTGCTAATCTTAGCTTAGCTCCCTCACGTTAGAATATAGAATAGCTTCTTAACCTGCAGCTTGCGGAGTTCTTATATTTCGTTGCACACAAAGTTCATTGAAATTTACATGGGTAGATCGGAGGGGGTGATGCAACTGTTATCATCGTCTTTTTGGTGGCAAAAGGTTTGTTTTGTCTTCAATGTCTTGTTGAACAAAGAAGTATGGTTTTGGCGGCACGTAGAAAACCAGTGCCAAAAATCACGAGCCAAGTCATTTTTGTTCAGATTTCTCTGCCCATACCTACATTTAACGCTGCCTCCCCTTATGCTACTACCTCACTCTCCCTCCGCAAATCGTGTTCTCGACAATGCGTAAGTGATTTTGATCTAGTGACAACAGGCAAAGAAGTTCTGTAAACTTGTTATTAATTATTCTGCCCAGAGTTAAAGAAAAACTGCTTGGACGTCCTTCTAGATAGCATGAGAATTGTAAGATTTAGTAGGAGGCATTTGGGAGCAAAGACGATGGGGTGAAGATGGCTGGCTTAATCTTGGCGTATCATGGAGAGAATCACGATGAAAGGGTTACGGATTTGATCGCCCGTTGCAAATGCTGTAGTGCAGGTGAGTAGGCAGCTCCTGACGCTTTTGAATTAAAATTGAAGGTGTGATTAAGAGAGCTAGTATTTGTACCTTGGAGCTTCTCGAACATAATGAGTGGTCAACCTTCATTTCTAAACTGAACAGTTATTCACTTGGTAACTATGTTGACAGTTGGATTAAAAAAACTCATTTTGCCAGAATTTGGAGCTTCATTTGTGTTCCTTGGTGTATTCCTCGACCTTTTTGGAGCAGAAGAAGCATTTGGAAAGTGTCAGCTGCTTATAATCGATGGCAAGTTGGCACAAGGTAACGTAAAACTGTTCTAGATTGATGTCAGGAGCAATGCCAGCGTTTGTTGCGAGCAAAAACGAAGTCTGTGTGAGGGTCTATGGTATCTGGGATATTCTCTGGTGTCAGAGATAGAAGGAGAAGGAATATGTAACTGCTATTAATCAAAATCCTTATCGCCGTCAAAGAGGGAAAGGCCCACCAGCGCTGCCAACTATATATCAGGTGACTAGTATTTCTATTTCTCCTCGGCCTTTAGACCATGAGGTTATCATTTAAGGAAGAAAAACGCAGGTTAGGGGTATGTGAGATTCGAACTCTTGCCTACCTCGGGAAAAAGCAGAAATTCTCAGCTAAGAGAACTATGGTTGCCTGATACATCAGTTAAACCATATTACTTTGTGCTACATTATACAATAACCTTAAAAAATTAGGTATATATGCAATCCGTAGATGTGCTCATAAAAGTGCCTTTACTGATCTACTTTATTTTTCATTGTTTTCGGCTGTATTATATCTATCATTTTGTAATTGTTCACGTTGATTATTTAAGGGTAATTCCAAGTCTTAACTAAATAATTCTTTTAGGCATCCATTTTTGCATTTACGTGGACAATCAGATTACCCACCCTCAAATGATTGTTTATAGGACCCGGCATGGCAATAGGCTGCACAATGCATCACCGATTGTCACGCATAATCCAGACAAAATTGACAAAGCCATGCTGCGACTTCTACATGACGATGAAGCATTACCAATGAGTGTTGGTTTTATCTTATTATCCATGTTGCCTTAAAATATTCTGGACAAGCCTATTTAGAGTTTGGGCGGTTTATTCATCAGATCACCTGCACAATGGCATATGTTCATTCCCCACTTTCCTTCTTTTCTTTCTAAAACGCTAGCCCATATTGTGCCATTTGGAAGAGATCTTACCTGCTAATACCAGTGCCAACGATATTTCTTGTAAATTGCAGTCTTGGACAACAATTTGGAGGATAGCCTCTAAACAGGTGCTTAATTTATATTAAATTGCAAGGTTGTTGGCTCTTTGGGCATAAAAAGCTACACTGACTGTCTTTTACTTACATGCCGCATGTGATGCGGCCACTTTGAGATAGCTGCCATGTTATGGCTGAATCTGACATTTCCTCCACCTGTGGTTTACCTTTCACTGGACAATCTTGCCACATTGCAAACGTTGACATATTTTAGTAGAAAAAGTGCTTTTTGCAAATAACATGGTAATTATTTAAGAAAGACGTCCGGGTATAGAACTCTGTGGGCTTGAATTTTATGTACTTGCATCTTGAAGGCCACTCTGTGCATAAAGTCTTACACTGCAGACGACTTTTCGAGTGGGAATCGGTGTTGTCTAATCCATAAAGATAAATCATCAGCTTGCATCTCTTTGAGAATTAAGGTGTAAAAACAGACAAATTAGTGGTTTTACTAAAGGTAACGAAGAAAATAAAATTTGGGATGGATTTGTCGTGCATCAAGCGAGTTGTTTATCACCCATTCGGATACCTCACGACAAAGCTGATAGCCTACCTGTTGGTTAGATCAAGTCTAGCTCACATTAACAGACAAATTGAAATACTCTTTCCCTCTCTATATATTAAATGCTCTTGCAAGTATAGGATGGATTTTAGAGGAAAGATCAGCTGTCTTTACCTGACTGAGCATATTGCACTGCGTAATTCAAAGAACAAACGCATATTGCTTCACTTGGGCACTTAAAAATTAAGGGAAAACTAAGCAGAGTAATCAAACTCTTCTCTTTTTAAATCACTTTTTCTTAATTGGCCTTGGAGGTATGAAAGTAACAGGGTGCAATTAATCCACATATTCTGCACGATATATAACGACACATTCAACGGAAATTTTAAAAAAATGGAAAAATAATTTTAAGCTAAAGAACACTGTCGGTTTGAAGCTAGAGTGGTACTTCTACTGGCAATAGTAGCTTATTTGATCCATTGCCTTAAGAATGTGTTTGTTGACGAAGTCACAATGTTGAGCTAACTTCGCAACCATCCAGAACTTAAATTTTTCAACAGATTGTAGTGGTAATTTAGAGTCTTAGTAAGTAGTGATCAGGCTGGGAGGGTAAGATCGCCATATGCTGCATACGAAAGTGCAAGGTAGTGTCTAGAAATTCCCATTTTTCTACCTAGTACTCACATTACGTGCCAAATCAACTGTGTAAGGGGCTGTGATTAGCTGTAGGTTGCAATTTACAAATATTTATTTACTTAAATATTGTCGCTTTTTTGTTAAGGCCATCTTATATGGTCATTCTCATAAGCTGAT